TGGAAAATTCGTGTTTTGACGATTTTACGTAGCAGAACTATTGTTAAAACCTATCGGAAATTATAGAACTCCTCGAAACTTTTGAAAAAGCCTACTGTTGTATCATTTTTAAGAGATTTTAAAAAAGTGCGGTGCTAGAGCTGATACCCGTGAAGCACCTCAATTTTTGGAAAATTCGTATTTTAATGATCTTACGTGGGTTCTACTGGCTCATTTTAATTCAGTATCGAAAAACTAACGTCAGATTCCTGATCAGCGCGCCAAAGTACGTAGGATAAGGTGCGCCTCAAGTCCCCGAGCACCTTCAAACTGTTAGGTTAGGTTATAAATCAACTTAGGTTAGAATGCCTTAGGTTAGAAATTGAGAAGGTTGAGGCTAAAACGAAATCTCGCAAAATGTACGGGGTAGATAAAAATTGAATTGAAATTGTGAAATGTCTAAAATAAATTACGCTCAGATTGATCTATTAATAAATTAAATTTTGGAATATTAAAATATTTAAATCAACAAAGTTAGATATTAATATTTGGAAATCAGAAATCCAGGCCTCGGGTGGCGTGGACGCCCAAAAAATTGATTTCAAGAAAATCGGTCCACTGGAAATTTCTCTACTCATCTCTGGACTCTGTACATGAATTTTGTTTATGTCGATTCTGTTAAATCTGTTTTCAATTGTCATTTGACAGTTACAACATAACCTTCATTCTAAGGAAAACTTGGAAACTGATATACAGAGAATCAAGGTCACGTAAACCCAACCCAGAAGATAAGTGAGAAGGAAGATGTGACGACTGTCTATAATAATAGAATTACGAAAGGCTTACTGTAACTGTAACCATTGATCGGGATAAGAATTGTATTTGTTATAAATGAAGGAGAAGTTTCGCTACAAAAAGGCACCCAATACAGTATATTTAATAAAGTAATAAAATACATCGGTGTTAAACACATTAAAATACTGCGAATAATTATGTCATTAATTAATCAATATATACACTCCATATATGATGTTACAAGGATCCTTACGTCTACGGATTTCTAAGGAGTATCTACCTACAAAAATATTAATAAATATCTAAGAGTACAATGTTAAGTGACTATTGGCGTAGCTTCAGTGATAAGGTACCGCGGTTATTATCTATGCCAGCATCCCTGGTCCAAAAGCATTACCAAACACCATAAAATTCGCGGAAAAATATAAATCACTCTTGTTTTTTCTCTTTTTTTTTATTACAATTTTCTTCAATTTTTCTTTGCGCTTAGTCGTACTTTCGAAGAGCAGGATGCTCGACAGCCGGGTGCACCGATCTCTGTGTCTAGTACATTGCTCGATGACGAAGCCGCGTAGAAATAATTAAAAAGAAAAAGAAAAACAGGTAATAATGAAGTTTAAAGAGATTTTGATTGAAATAGTAAAAATTAATATAAAAAATAAAAAGGTCGCAGTTAACTAGCCTTGCCATTTTTTACTTTAAGTAATAGGTACAGAGTTTAATTTAAAGAAATTTTGTTTGGATACCTCTAAAGTGCATCAGACTGTGCCCGAAGCTCTCTCTTGCGTTTATGAAGGTAAAAGTTCCAGTAGCCGGACACCTAACGCTACGGTCTCAGTCCTCGGACGTCCATTATGAAACTGTATTTCCATCTGTCTTGCACACACGCTTTGTCCGGTAACTGGAACATGTACCTTATTCTTTAAAATTTGTTCTTCTTTTCTTATTCAAGCCCTAGGTACATACTACGTCTACTATGTTTCACTAAGGTACTTTTATTCTTGTCTGTCCCAAAAAGATAAAGAATAAAAAAAGATAGGTACTTCATCGGTCACTCTCCACGAGATATATTCGCAATACCTTGGCAGACCCTGGCAATGAAAATGGCTATTCGATTAGAAATCGTTTACTTGGTAAGCTGTGTAACAATTCAGAATTACTCGACAATGCTAATTACGTAATTACTGAATTACAACACTTACCAGCCTCATCTTCGTCCTAACATAAAAATACAAATAACTGCAGTGTCTTAACGCTTGAGACGCAGAATCGTAGTACGGCGAAGAGGAAACAGAAAGAAGACAAAAGTTAAGAATTAAAAAGCCAATTGATTATAATCAAGGCTTAATTACATTTTGAAAAATTTTAAATATCATTTAACGATACCACGACAATTAAGATCATTAATCAAGTAAAGATAAAGAGGTTGAATAAAAATCATGCCTGTATTATAAGAACGTGTGGATTTGTCTTAAGAAGGTAAGCTTGACATTGAAGATTTTTCTTAAGCAGTTTCAAGACGAAAATCCACACCTGGGGAAACTTAAGTGTTAAAGGATTTCTAGAATTAGCGCTAGTGTGTAGTAAAAAAAGATAGGCGTTCAAGAAGAGAAATATAAAAATGAAATAAGAACACAATTAGAGATTTGGCTTCTGCGTTACAGGCCAGAGTTTTTTCCTAACTGCTAGAACTTACTACGGGTAATAAAAAAAAGGTTGTACAAATGACTGACATAAGAAGAATATAATATTATATATTTGATATATAATCTGGAAATAATATAGACTATCGGTTATATTAATTGTGGCTACGATGTATAAATTTTAATATTACATTATAATACAAAAATGGTATGTATGTGTGCGCGTTAATTTTGAAATTCCTGATCGGTTTTTCAAAAATTCATTTATTCTGATTCCCTCTTACGTTCCATGTTCCTGCAAATGGCCAAGAAGCTATCATAGCTTCGATTGCAAGATCGAACTCTCAATATGGACAAATCTTTTATTTATTGTTATCGAATCAGTATCGATAGTCAGTTTTCATCTTTACCACCTTTGCTACTTGCGTAGCAAAAACGAACACAATACGGAGTCGGAACACGAGCTGTATCATATTAATATCAATAATATTACTAGTAGTAGTGGTAGTAGCAGTAGTATCAGCAGCAGTATTGAGAGTTAGAAAATTTTGTCAAATTTTTCCAATATCCTTAAAACACCATGGCCACCGATCAGGAATGACAACTGTAAACCAAAAAGGGTAACCTGACGCATTTCCAAGAGCCTCGCACCTGTCCAATTTATAATTTAATATACATGATTACAGTGACAGCCAGGCGTAATGAAAATATTAAAAAAGCGTCGAGTTGCTCATAAAAGAAAACACCAGTGACTTCGCAGGGTTCGATAATTACAAGGAACCCGAATTGGAACTGGAAACGAAAATTGGTGGAGCATCGACTCAGTCCTGAGGAAAGCAGCCTCATACTCTCTCCATTTTCAACTCGAGAATCGAAGCAAAATTTGGATATTATTCTTGTGAAGTAAAATTTCGAAAATCCTTTTCTTGCTCTTCTCGACGTCACTGGGCTATCTCCCCATATGTCATAGAGTGTATTTTCTCTCTGGTACGATTTACTTTCTTATGTTTTTTCACAGGTTAATGGACATGTCTTGGTCATAAGGTGTGAGGTTAGCGTCTGATGATGAAGGTGAGGTAACTGGTGCTGCGGTCGCGCTTGTAGGCGACTGAATGGGCGTTGAGGTCGTCGGCAAATTTGACGTGGGACTTTCTAAGGTTGAATTCCAATGGCTTCTGTCGGCTCCGTCGCCACCATCATCTGAGACGATGGATATGTCGGCAATAATGCCGCTTTCTGCGAATGAAACCACAGAATTCACCACCATCCTTGAACTCTGACCTTTTTTGTACTTTACTCGTGGCTTCATCCTTGAAAAATTATGATAAGATAAAAAATAGGACTTACCAACACTGCACTGACTATTCAGAGTGGTACTCCGATGATGAGGACGGGGACTGGTATCCAGACCAAGATGAAGGGTCGTAGGTGGTCCACTACTTCCTCCACTGCTGGATGAGGAACTCACGGAGATGACGCTATGAGGCCTCCTGCTGCAGCGTCCAGAATCTTCTGATATTGACACTGCTATCGAATTTCTGAACCTTGGTGCTGGGCAGACAATTTTTTAATCATTTATATTATATAATTATGATATAGAGCTACTTATTATCATGATTGAAACTTACTCTTGGAGAGCTGAGCTACGCTTATGGAACGATCATTTATTTGGTCCGCGCTGGGCCTGATGTCCAGACATGGCTTATTTCCTATACCCATGCTTGACATCTCCGCAAGGCGCACTTCTGCCAATATCATTGATATGAAAGATTTAGAAAGAATTTTGACAATGGAACGTATCATGATTATTATATTAAAATTTTTAATACCTCTGTTTCGGAGCGCCTGCTTCCAGAGAAGATTGCTAAGTTCCTCGGCCCAGGCCTTCTTGATGTCCTCACTGGCGCATTGCAAGGTGTACGTGTCCCCTGGTTTCCTTTTACGGAACCAAATTTCAAATTTGGTTGGGGAATCAGCTATCACGGCTGTTAAACCGATATCTGTCGTTTTGATACTATGCTTGTAGATGTAGATGTCAAGATTCTATGAAGAAAAAAGACAGATAGATATAACTGTTCCATAGATATAACTATATATCCTATCGAATACATGTAAAATGAATACAAATATTTTTTAGTGCATACCTTTCTGTCAGGGAATCTTCTTGCTTTACTGAAGAGTATAAGATCTTCGAATAAAAAAACTTGTCGAAGACACTTTTTGCCTTTTCCTTGCCAGACGAGGAATTCATTTTGTCTCAACAATCTGCCCTGTTCTTTGACATTGACCTGAAGTTAAAGAAATATATATTTAAAGAAGTACATTCTATCAGGATTATACTATGTATTTTTATATTTAAAACAAGTCTTACATCACAATCTCGAAGTGAATCCATGGCTAGAAGATCATTTCCATGGCGAAGCTGGAATCGAACCATCTGCTCTGCAGCCCTAAGATCAGCTTCACCTTCGACAACTGGTTTATTACTCTCTTCCTTATCCTCCTTATCATCTTCTTTACTGACGAATTGTTCAGATAGATCCGTTCCAGCTTTGAGCAGTTGCTGAAGCAGCAATGCGTACTTGCCCATACGTTGTACAGGCTTCAGCAGGTAACTAGCCAGATCCATTTTATCACCCAATTCCAATTGTTTGGTTTTAAAGAAGATAGTACCATATTCGGCCATTAAGGAGTCTGAATTAGGTTTGTTCTTATTGTATAGGGCATAGAGGTAAAATTTCTTTTCCTGTAAAAGAAAATAAAGAATCATAATACCCACAGAAGTGAATTGCTTAAAAAATATTTATTGGCACCTACATGTCTCAGGAAGCACTGGCCAATCATCATGGGACACTGTTCGCATTGTTCTAATTCACGAAGAAAGTGTTGACTATGAAATTCGTAAATCTTTTCGACGTTCCCGAAGATTACGTTCCTCTGCCCTCTCAAAGCTTGAGGGATGTCCTCGCGCACGAGTTCCGGTATGTAGTTCTAAAATGACCAGAGATAATAAATACTCAAAAAAAAAAAAGGATTTCCATTAAATTACACCTCATCCTGGATTTGAATATCTTCAAGAGTAAAGTGCATAAAAGAAATTAAGAGAAAAAAAAAGAGAAAGAAGAAATATCAATGCCTACGGCTACACAGGTAACAATTACCTCTATTATGTATTCGAGGGATTTCACATAGTCTCGTTCAGTCTGTATCATCTCCCTCATTATAAGCAGTATTGTTCTACAAGAAAGAAACAATTCATTAGCCGCCATCCTCATTATATAATCATACAACGCATTAATTATTACCCTGGAGCAATTGGATCCTTCACTAGGATCTTCTTGTTTGTCAAACCAAGTTGAAACTTACTTTTTGGCCTTCATTCCAGGTGCGATACTCGGCGCTCTATGAAGATGCGAATTGACCGGTGGCTTGGCGAGCCTCCTGGGTGGAGGACTTCTTGGAGGAGTCCTCGGTGGTGAACAGTCCAACAACTGTTCAGCACTTTCGCGGAGCTCGGCGATGTTATCCAGGACGGGTTTACCACCGCTTCCAGATCCAATACCGTCCATGGGACAAGCATAGGAAGCACTGTCGCTCTCGTCCCAGGACGTTCCTAAGAAAAATATAGTTCACAAATAAATACACTTCCTTGTAAGGGCAAGAACTGGTCAACCAAAGAAAAAAAAAAAACTAACTTTTCATTAAGGCATCGTCCCATGAACAAGCAGATTCCGAGGCAGCATACGATCTCCTCCTGGCAGGACTTCCAGGCGCTGAGGTCGTCCTGGTAAATTCCAAAGCCTCCAGACACTTGTTCCTAGCGATACGGCACTGTTCAATAAGTATCTCATTCCCCAGCTTCTCAGCCAGGGACATCATCTCCGTGAAGTGTTCCGGAGGTAGCGGCGGCCTGGCCATGAGGAACTGTTGAGCCCGTCGTTCCCCAGCCACCCTGGCCTCCTGGGCCCACTCGAAAGCTCGATCCTGAAGTAGACAGCATCTCGACGTGTCCTCCAGGTACTCCCGTCTGTCTTCCAAACGAGACCCAAATCCTCGAAGATGCTGCTTCAAGGACCTCGCCAACTCGCGAAGCCCACTGGTGCTGGCGGCTTCTGCTAGGTCGCTACCCTTGTCCAGGTGTCTCTGGAAAGACAATAAAACCACCCTTCAATAAAATCCATCCCCCTCCAACGAGCCCCGCCAAGGCCAATTGTCCAATATAAACTGACATATGGCTATGATCTAAACGGTAACACATCCATCACCTAGTCCAACCACGCACGGAGTCCACTTATGCGTAAAATCCATTTCCATCCAGTTTTTCCAGATGCAGAGAAACGTTCCACCCTTATGCAACTGCACGTATGCGCATTCACTGTCCACGTTAAAACTTGACAAATCGATGACAAACACCCCAAGAACCCAGGATGAGCTCCGAGCTACTTTACGGAAGTGCACGTCCAGTGAAATATGGCCATAGCAATTTTCATCCCCCTTGGTAAATAAATGTTTATCGCCCAGGGGTAGCACTGGGATACCCAGGGGAGGCGTGTGGAGCATTTAATAGGGTGCGTGACGCGATGTACACGTGTTTCGAGGGTCCTTATTAAATTTGTAGTGCAAACCCCCGTGGTCGCCGACGGGGACGACTTTTCGTGCTCGCACGGCCCGGAGCACGGGTGCTCGAGAGGCGTGGTAAACCGCGGGGAAGCATTTACAAATTGAGGCTATCCCCATACGTAGGTACAGCCTATATATCATCGGAGGGAAACTCTCCGTCTCGGAAAAAAATCCTACATCTTCAGGAAAGCATGCGAGGAATTGGACGTGCCTTTTGAATATTTATTAGGATCACGGGGAGCCGTGCGAATACACGTGTAGTATGTGCAGACACGTTAAGGTAATTATAAGCTCCTACGGATATAATTAATTAGTAACCATCACGGAAGAATATAAGGATCGCTATCGTCTTCTCTGGCGCAAGATCATCCTCTGGTCTATATTAGTTTCTCAAGGCTTTGGGTTTCACGTCATAGGGACAATAATAGACGGCGATACGTTCAATGGAAACGACTAATGTGTCTTAGCGCCATTATATTCTGTTATGTCTCGATATGCTACGTGGGTTATATAAACTGTGCATATATATAGATACACAAACAACCATAGGTTAGTGCAGCAATTATCTAAAATAATTAAAGACATTTGAAGTAGGACAGATAAAATAATACAATAGTCCACTTTCAGTAATTACTAATTGTTGACCTTGAATTGTTTTTATGACAATATTTAAATACATTTTTATGGCCCAGGCGCGAATGCAGAATATGGATCTTGAAGAAAAATAATGTAAGAAATGTACAGAAAAAAATATTAATTTAATATAAATCAATAACCCACTTGTCGATAGGATCGTGCTCTTTGATATTCAATTTAAAATCAGTCGTTCGTTTTATTACTTGCTGATATCAAAATGGCCACCACGCGTGGTATATGATTATATGTACTTTCTAATTGTGGCGACAGAACGAGCGCGGGAGTCTTGACGCTCCTTTGCGATGCGATCATTACGATTTGTTTTGATGCCATGGAAAGTTCTTTTTCCGTATGTACAGTGTGTGCATTTATTTATAAAAAAAAAAAAAAAAAAAAAAAAAAAAAAAAAAAAAAAAAAAAAAAAAAAAAAAAAAAAAAAAAAAAAAAAAAAAAAAAAAAAAAAAAAAAAAAAAAAAAAAAAAAAAAAAAAAAAAAAAAAAAAAAAAAAAAAAAAAAAAAAAAAAAAAAAAAAAAAAAAAAAAAAAAAAAAAAAAAAAAAAAAAAAAAAAAAAAAAAAAAAAAAAAAAAAAAAAAAAAAAAAAAAAAAAAAAAAAAAAAAAAAAAACACGAGAGTAAAGCGAGGACAGAGGATCTGCTCGCTGCAAATATTTGTATGCAGGATAAATAGAACGTGTATAACCTACAGTATCTGCCGTATCCAGTTTACTGAGAATAATGATTAACGATCACCTTGAGAAAGAGCAAGAATCCACGACCTTTGACGTGGCTGACCGGTTGTCTTTGACACTTAACAAAAAAGATAAAAGATAAATGCAATCACCCACGGAATGCACCAGCGGTGCATAAAGTTGACAAAACATGCATTCTGGCTGGCAGGATTTAAGATTCGAATAATTTTTATTCACCTTGTCGTATTAATGAGCATCCGCCAAATTCAATGTAAACGAATTGTCAGGCGGTAATGTATATTTTACAAAATAACGTAAAAACCAATTACGAACTTTGATGACGTCATTCTTCAATAAATGCTGTTTATTTTTCCTGTCGGTAACGTCACTTTCTATGCTGTATATGTATACTTCGTTCACGAAAACTCGCATCCCTGCGGTTATAACCATAAACGGACTAATCATTTCCATGGAAACTGGTTTTTCCATTAGATCGTAAATCGTTTGAGCGAAACGCACTTTCCTTCAGAAAATTGCTTGCGCTTTTGACATTTACCCGAGAAGCGAACCAGCCGAGTGGCGGGTTGCTGACCAGAAAGGAATGCCAACGTTTCAAGAAAGTCTAATGCAAGTACGGTAAGTGCACGGCAAGAATAAATTAGATGCAGATAAAAGTGACGTATAATAAAAAAAAGGTATCGGAAAATAGAAAAATATTTCAAAAACACCTACAGCGACAATTTTCAGAATTTCAGTCTCTCGCTTGACCTCAATCCGTTCTTAAAATATTCCCCAGGAAACATGTCGCCATTAGAAGAACACGGACACGTATACCGCGAATGGCTTTCTTTCCCGTGTAAATTCGCAACTAAATTCGGTCGAACATCCGTCCCGATTGTCGTCCCCGTCATACAGACAGTATCAACAATACGGATACATATACTTCTAGTACTTTCTTTGCATTCAACGGAGAAGCCAGCGTTCGGTTAGTGGTCACAAATCACCTGTCGCTATACTTTCTCCTAGTAAGGTTAGAAATTCCACTGAATTGGCCATTCGGTGTGTACGTGGCATAAACAATGTGTATTTCAAGTTATATATACCTACGAGATAATATAGTCAAGGTACAATGTATAAAATTCCCATAGGCTTCCCATAACAAGTCTGCCAGACTTTGCATACGTTTCAGACGCATTAACATATGACAGATAAGAGTTTTGATATTGTATAAATAATTACGCTCTATGAATATCCTGTAAGGACTTTACTCCTGTATCAAATATACAACGCGATACTGTAACGTATTCCTTTGATTCCACGTATGCTGGACCATTCCTATTGTGACGGCTTGTACATACCTTGAGGGAAACTCGAGGTCAGGCTGTGGCAAATTTCTGTCTCGCGTTGGTAAACGTGTATCAGGTATGTGGAAACAGAGACATATGAGCTTCGAGATGCAAGATACGATGAACGAAGTCGCGCAATGTCTACGACCTGTTCTCTGATAATGACTTTCCCTGGCTGCTTTCTGTCTTAAGTCGATTCGGTCTCGGCAACGCGCACCTAACCTCACTCCTTTTACTCGGTCGAACCCCAGTCAATTACTCTTGACTTTTAACTCATTGGGGGCAACTAGGTAGGATCGTCCGATCAACGGTCACTATGAGCTATCCGGTGAAAGCACTTTTACGAGGATCGGAATTCGAGTTCCTTGAGGAATCTTACTGACGCGGCCGAAAGGTCTGCCGGGAAACAAAGATGGCGGATGGCTCAGAGCGATTTGAATCGTAATCCTTTCTGGGTAGATCGAAAGATTTCCGTCTTGCGATAGTCTCCAGTGACTTTCGGTTTCTCTGGCATTTTTTCAAGGTCGTAGAATACACCGTTCCAATCCTATAATGACGGCTGAAATTCAGGAGCGTCGCCATTCTAAAAGTATCAAGGCAAATATGACGATTTGCACGATTGCTGAAAAGCTATCTCACACTGCGTCACAAGGAATGACAGACAACAAGGACGTTAAAGTTTCACGCGGCAAGGAACGTTAAGACGCAAATACAAAGACTGATTTGTGTTAGCGATTACGCGATAGCGAGCGTCAAAGATGGCGCTGCGGTCGCACTTTGTTTTTCCGTCTAGGTTAGTTACGTTATTCATGCCAGGTTAACACGTTCGCCACGTAGCCTCAGGCGAAACTTCCATAGGTGAATTACGCATATACGATGAAACCGCAGCGGGACGATCGTACCTACAATTGCCGTTCTCATCGTGCAGAGCTTTCAAGAGGGTACTAAAGGGTAAAATAAAATAAAATAAAATGAACCCACCGAGCAGCACTCGTGACCACAGACAATAAAATAGCGCCTCCAGTTTTTCGCGCTATACAAATGGCTTACATTTACCCCAAAACAAAAAGTTTGCAAAGTCGTTGTACCTACTGTGAAAACCCACCCTTAGCGACGTCACGCATTCACCAATCGAACTCATCCCCACAATGAGTCTGAACATTGGACAAAAGCCACACGTGTACATCTGTCAAGTTACTAACATACGGGGGGATCAAGTTTCCTACAACCTCC